GTCGGCGACGGACCGCAAACGTGAGCGGAGACAGAAGAAGATGGAGAAGAGGAGGAGACTTCAGGAGAAGGAGAAGAAACACAGGCTGGTGGAGAAACTCAACCCAGGACTGGGCAACAAGTATGCCAAGAAACGTGCCATGGAGGAGTTAGAGAAGCAGAGCAGACGGGGAGGAAAGACCAAGATTATCAAGGTACACTAACTGTCTAGTGTACAGGGTTGGAAAATAGTCTAACCTTTACTGTAAAGTATGGTGTTTGCACATACATGTAATGTCACAGTGGCCTTGGTGGTTGTTTGAACCTGGTGTCTTAAATTTGTAGTACAGTTGTCATACAAGGAAGGCATTTTTGGAATTTTATGAATTTGTGGTGGTGAAGTCACTGCACAAATTTATGAATTTACAGTAAACGAGTTGAGATTTACCAGGCAACTTCCAGCTTTAACTATTCAACATGGCTGACAGTACAATATTTATATTTACAATATACAGGCATAGCCATGTGAGACAAGCCCACAATAAGGTTGAAGGGCCTCCTCCAATAGTGTATTCAACCTACTTTTCAAATCTTCATTCTAAGTCTTTGTTCAGACATGTTGTCCTGTTTATCTATGTTACTTTTTCAAATGCAGATTTGATTGATAGTTTGGAATTTTCCTTCACAGGATGAAGGCAAGTCACAACCCCTGAAGTCTTCCAAGGCCTTCTTCACACAGCTGCAGGAAGAAGTCTCAGAAGAAGTCAAGAAAGCGAGGGGCTCCAAGAACAAGAAGAAGAAGAAAGACACATCAGCATCCAAACTCAAGTTATAGAAAAAGGCTACATTTTATTGTGGCAAACAAGGAGACATTGAAAGCTTGAAGATTTTTTTCACATATACAAATGTGTTTGTAACAATGATGAAAACATCCATGAATAATTTCATCAAGAACCAACATTTTGATGACTGTATGCCATCTTCACCAGGACAATAAATGAAGGCATTTGCCAGTCATAACTGCCCTGATGAAGATGACAGACGGTTATTGAAACATCAGCTCTTGTTGATGAAGTGGTTGTGAATAAAGAACTTTGCTGTTCAGGAATGAAAACAGTTATTTGTCAATATCTTTTACTTGAATGTCATCTTTATCATTCTATTTATGATATGGAAAATAGTACAGAAGCTGTAAGAATGCATATTTATCACTGAAATTAATAAACTAGATTCATTTCTTAAAAATCCGACAGATCTATCCTTATGCTGACATTGTATAAAACATTCCCCATGTATTGCACATTCTTGTAAGAAAACATTGAGATTAACACATCTTTGTTTATTTCTATTGCTAGCATACAATTTGTAATAAGATGATTACAGAATTGCATCATTGCATTGTATTGATTTATATTGTCTATTTGGTTTGTACAACTTTGATGAAACAGTCTGTACAGTCATATACAGAAACAGTCATATATTGAAATAATATACTCAGTGCACTTCAACACAACCAAACGTGGTAGTTGTAAGAATATTCAGGGACTGATTTGATGACGGGATTTGACGACATCTGAAGCCACTACATCGGACAGTTGTCTGGGGATACTTATGAACAAGACAAAACACTTGCCGAACGTGGTAGGGTTATATATAGGAACTGATTTTCATCACGGGATTTGCCGACATCTGAAGCCAGTGCAGCGGGGTCCTGAGAAGTCGTCCACGATGGGGACGTACCCTCCGCCTCCCCCGGCCGTGTGTCTCCCCCCGCCGCCGCCGGACTGTTGGGACCCGGAGGAGCTGGGCGGGCTTTCCAGGGGGTTGTACCAGCTGTACGGGCAGCTGGAGGACCGACGCCTTCTGTTGGAACCGCCTGGAGAGGAATGACCCTCAACGTTAGCTTTTGGAACTGTAAAAGTCTATTCAAGATTCTTTATTTAATAGCCTGGGTATTATATTCACGAACATTATCTTTGGAGGTGTCAAAAATTCATTTAAAATACCCTTTTACTTCACTTGAAAGTCTTGATATCATCATAATGAACGTTAGCTTTTGGAACTTTAAAAATCTATTCAAAATATCTTTTGACTTTGCAGCCTGGGTATTATCCCCGTGAGGGGAATGAGCTAATCCGTGTCATGGGCAGCTCGGGAGCTAGCGACCGAAATGGTACCCAAGCTATTTATTTTGATACGTAAAAAAAACTTTCTAACCTTGGCACTCCTGATCCTTGGGATCACCGAACCCTTTACTCTTCAGGTACTTGGCTCGTGCGATGACGTCATTGGCGTAGTCGTTCCCCGTCGTTCCCACGTCCATCCGGTCGTAGCTGCGCACGTTCCCAACCCCCGCGTTGTAGGCAGAGATCCCGCCTGGAATCGGGAAACACATTTCGTTCACCTACAACTATATACACGTCACAATTGATGTAGGGAAAATACGGAGCTAAAGGTTTATACATCTAATGTAGCTGTGCTCGAGCAAAAAGAATGTATTATACTTTTGTTGACCTCGAATGCGGTTCAGCACCAAGGGCAGACCCAACAATACATCGTCTTCGCACATCTTTTATAGCTCATATTTTTTATGTGTTTTCTAGCGGTGGGTGTTTTTAATAACAAACATTATAAACGTTCAGCTAACTCATTGCATTAAAGATCAAATCGAACAAAAAGGTTGGACAAGTGCAAGTGACGTCTGCAAGTGACCAGACATGGATACTTTGTCGGGATGTACACAGAAGAAACTGAAGGTGGAACCAAGCTCCTTAGTGGAACGAAACGCGTGTCTTCTCTGAAATTACACACGTGCACAATTACACAACAAGTTAAGATACTGAAAATTCCTGTCGTCCGGAAAGTATCAAAACGTCTCTCGTGCAATCCTCGGCTTCCTAAATCACCCCCCCCCCACCCGCCGCATATCGACCCCTACTTCCTGCTGGCCCAGCTGCAGAGCAATTTCCCGTGTCAGACTTTTGACCCCTGGCATTATGTCGGTCAATCTTTCCCACCCACGTAGTGTCAACCTACTTTGTCGGGATATACACAGAATACACACAAACCCACAGCATTGCCACCCAAAACAATATTTTCGTACCCAAAAGGAACTACGGAGACAAAGAAACATTAGATTACCTTTCAGCACCTCCTCGCTGTTCCACGAGGGGTGACAGTTGCTGACGCCCTGGATGAAGCCCTGAAGGATGCCGACAGCCTGGGTCAGATGTTCCGTGCTGTCCCAGGCGCCTTGGGTGTTGTGGTAACGACGGTCAATCTGAAGGAACACAAGAAACAGATAGTCATTGCCA